CTACTTGAGGTACATCTTCTTAGGAATATACTTCATCTAAATATGAAAGTATGGATGCCGATTAATAGACAACATCACAGAAGTATGGTTTTGACTAATGGCTAATATTCAGGATAAACCATTTCATTGGTCCAAAATTTAAACTTAGCGAAGAGCATTAGTGGATATTTATGACATTTATGACATACAAATTTCTGCTATCAACCCAGAATGTAGAAGTATGTAATAGAAATATGATTAAGCCTTTATTTTCTTAAGAAGGTAATATTCTAAAATATGGATTTCACATGTTTCTTAGCATCTAATCATGTGTATGTGTATATCTATATGCCTTATATACCTATATATAAATAGTATGATGATTTATTAGAATGACATGAGAAGAGTTAACTTTGACATACTTCTGATAACAACATATAACCTAATTTCTAACAATTAAAATATATAGACACAAGAAGAATCTTGAATTCATCATAGCCACCCAAAATAGAAATGAGTTTAAACTAATTTTTCTGAATTTATACAAAATATGGAAATCAAACTAACCCTACTTTTTTCTACTGAAGGTTTCTTTTTTCAATCTAAATCAACTAATGAACCAGCTGGAACCAGAAAATAAATAAAAACTTATATAGTTTCTGAAACTAAAATAGCATCACAGGGCAAAATGCAGTATCAAAACATCTGCTGGAGAGACTCTGAACTTAGTAAAATTTCATTTGCTTTAATTCTTTACATCAAACAGTCAGTATAGATATTGCTATATTTTGTCTCAATAGACATGTTCTTCTTTTTTCAGGAGAAATAGAAACAGATGTTCTTAATAATAATAAGTCACCTGCTTTTAACTAGTTAACTCCAGTGAATGGAAGCAGATTGCTCCTGAACACTTTCTGAAGGATACATCTGTATGTTTGTTGTTTGTCCCAAACACATACTTGCAGACATTTTCATTATGTTAACCACACTCACTATTTTATAATGCAATTAGTTTTATTAATTCTATTGCTAGCATTCCTGTGGATTTTCCCTTTGTTTTATGGCAACACAGTATAATAAGCATATAGTTTCCTAATGAGAAAACATCAGTTAGAGCAATATTTAAATTAATTCAGTAGATAGATACATAACCTAGTGCTTTCAAACCTAGATTCAGTGTATTTTAATTTTAGAAAGCATTGAACACCAAAATATTATTTGCAGGTGGACTCTATATAACATGTATTTAGTTCTATATTGTAATTTTGCTTTTAAAATAGTATATTAGTGTCATATTTTGCTTTCACATTCTAACAAAGTATACTTACATGTTTTATATTTAAATTCTCCCACTAATGGTACAAAATTTGTTGAAATATTCAAATAAACTTTTCAGGTAAATTTGAAAATAGTATCCTTATCATTTGCTTCTAGGACAATATTTTGTATTAAGAGTTGTTTTGCAAT